TGGCCCTGTTTGAACCCAGATTGGTAAGGGTCAAGAAGACAGTCTTGTAAGTAAACACACCTCTGTGATTGGCCCATTGACAATCCAAGATGGCAGCCACCTTTCTTCCTCAGGGAATGCATTTCCTGCGTTTCAGCTCTGAAAGAATGCAACTCATCCCGAACAACGGGGAAATTTACCTACAAATGCTGATTTTGATGTCGTCAGAATAGAATAGATTTTATTGATCCCACTGTGGGAAAATTCACTTGTTACAGCAGCACACTGATTATTTACTAAACTTGATGTTTGTGGTGTCTCCAGCTTTGTAAGCCAAAAGAGAGACCTTTGAGGATTTTAGCGACAGATTCATTTTAAAGTCCTGTAGGCTGATACTTTACGAAGGAGAGACGTTGGAAGCTCCTGAAAAGACCATCATGAAGAACAAGTGCAGCTGTGGAAACAGACGAACGAATGAGAGTGTCTGAAGGAGAAAAGAAACCAGAGGAAGGGGAAGAGGGAGGGGTAAGAAATAACAGAAGAGAAAAAGAGGAGCAGAAATAAAACAGGAAGGAGCGACTCAGACAGGCGGAGGAAGAAGAAGAAGACAGGAGGAGGACATGGAGGGCAGACACGGTGGTCCTCAGGCATCTCTGTTCATCCTTAACTTTCCCTTTCTCTGAACTCACATCTCCATCATCTGGTTTCAGGCATGCTCTGGATTTTTGGGGGTGCTCAGAAGAACAGAAGCTGATCTAAAGGGCTAACTTTCACTGAGAAAAACTCAAATTTAGATTTAAATGAGTTTGTCTTAAATATGACAGCAAAAAACTGACAAATCTTGAGAGGTAGAACCTTGAAAAATTAAGAACATAATGCTATAAATGTTATAAAACATCTTTCTGCTTGAAAAACAAAGAAAATGCGTTTGAAGGTTTCCAGATGTACCTGGTTATTATTATAATGGCTTTTTAGCATCATGCCATTGAAGTAAAATATCACTTTAAAGAGACAATGTGTAGTTTTTACCAATAATTTCTGGAAATAACCATCAAAACATTGTTGAAAATAAATGAAATGATGCAGAGTTGTTGAAAAATATTGTCGGCTTCGTAACACATAGCCATAAACATCAAGTTTAAAATACATGGGAGCGGGTCTAAGTCTCGACGCCTAAGACACCTACCACGGGTCCCCGGAAGAACAAAAAAAAAATGAAAGCAAGTCAACGGGACTAAAGATCCGCTTGTTCTGTGCCATGGATTTCACATATGATGTCTGTGAATTTTAAAGACGCATTTTGATACCAAGAACGCGCTTATTTTCGAACGGGGGGAATGATATTTTAGGGTTTGTGTGAAAATAAGTCCAAGACTACAAACGCGCTTCACGAAAGTGACGTCATCGAACCAGACACGGAGAAAACTGAGGGAAATGAGCTGTAAGTTCAGCAAACTTCCCACAGGAGGAAAGAACCACCATAAATCTGGTCATGTGGTAAGTAGCAGCTACGCTACGGGAGAGGAGATTATGTGGTGACGTCACAAATGCGACGTGCCGATTTCTGGTGTGTAGCCGTGCTAATTACGAACTTTTACAAGCTGATAAATCTCAAAGTACGTGACCGGCGTGGTCGAAGCGCCTATCATTACTTTTCATTTAAATTGCAGTACAACATATGAGATCCAGGGCATAAGGCATAGCAGATTAGAAAATAGCGTTTTTAGCCCCGTTGACTCGCATTCATTGTTTTATTCTTCTGGAAACCTGTGATGCGGAAGTGACTTAGGCTCCCTATTAGATGCCATGTTTCCTTCTACGGGAACCCATGAGGACAAAATGCATTACTGATTTGTAATAAAAGATTACAAACTTTCATCATTCTTGGGGCAACGGTGGCACAGGAGTTAAGAGCTCGCCCGTAATCGGAAGGTTGCAGGCTCGAGCCCCGCTCAGTCTAGCGCTGTCGTTGTGTCCTTGGGCAAGACACTTAACCCACGTTGCCTGCTGGTGGTGGTCGGAGGGACCGGTGGCGCCAGTGCTCGGCAGCCTCGTCTCTGTCAGTGCGCCCCAGGGCAGCTGTGGCTACATTGTAGCTCATCACCACCAGTGTGTGAATGTGTGTATGAATGGGTGAATGACTGATTGTGTTGTAAAGTGCCTTGGGGGGTTCCAGGACTCTAGAAGGCGCTATATCAAATACAGGCCATTCTTAAATGTTGTTTTACACGTTTACCACTTGTTGCCAGTGATGAAAGGGAGTCTGATACTCTTGTTATTTTGCTAAAGTTTGCACTTTTTGACCCTAATGGGGATCCATTAGTAAGGTCTTACTCCAACACAAAAATAATGCTTGCTTGCAATGATTTAGGTTTCTACTGCCCCCTATCGCCAGGAAAAATACACACTGTCACTTTAAGTATTTTAAACAGTTTTTCTTCTAAATGGAATTAAAAACATGAGAATCAGTTGTATCAAAATGCCATGAAGAGTCTTTTTTAAACACTGGTTTCTTAGGCATCTGTGATGTGAACACAAATCTGATTTAGATGAGTTTCGTGTCTGAACCATTCAGGTCAGACTTCAACGCGCGTCTCTTGGTCAGCTTGCTTCTCACACCAAACCTTCCATCAGGAATCTCGGTGTGACCTTTGACCCAGCTCTCACCCTGGATTCTCATGTCAGTTCTCTTGTTCGCTCTTCCTTCTTCCATCTCAGGAACGTTGCTAAGCTGAGTCCCATTCTGTCCCGCTCTGAACTTGAGACAGTTCTCCACACCTTCATCTCCTCACGCTTAGACTACTGTAACTCTCTTTTCACGTGTCTGAGCAGAACCTCCCTGAACCGTCTACAGGTGGTTCAGAACGCCTGTGCTCGGCTTCTGACCAAGTCCTCCAAACACACCCACATCACCCCGCTTCTCCTCCAGCTTCACTGGCTGCCAGTCAACTTCAGGGTTCATTTCAAGATCCTGGTTCTGGTCTATAGGGCCTTACATGGACAAGCACCATCTTACATTGGTGATCTTCTTAGTCCCTACACCCCCAGCAGGTCCCTGAGATCCAGTGATCAAAGCCTACTGGTTGTGCAGCACCAGGCTAAAGGTCAAAGGTGACAGATCATTTGCTGCTGTGGCCCCCAGACTCTGGACCTCTCTCCCCCTGAGCCTGAGATCAGTGGACTCAGTGGTCTCCTTTAAAAAGCAGCTGAAGACTCACTTGTTCAAGCTGGCTTTTGTATGACCTTCTTCACCTCTCTCTCTTTATTCTGCTCTCCCCACCTATTCCACCTTCCTCAGGATCCACTGATTTCCCTCTTTCCTGTTCACTCTCTCTCTTTATTTACATTTTTTAATCACAATTGTCTATTTTTGCTTTTTTAAATATTTTTTAAAACATTTTCTAAATGCTTTTTTATATTTTTATATTTTTACATGTTTTGCTTTTGTGAAGCGCCTCGTGATTTTTATCTTGAGAGGCGCTTTAGAAATGATACTTTCTTCTTCTTTCCTCTGAGACGGGATGAAAACCTGCACACATTTAGGAACACGAAGCTCGTGTTTCGGAGCTGACTAAAAGTTTTAGCTCGATTTTATTTGTTTTTGTTTTTGTTGTCCCATTTAAATGTTTCAAATAAATAAAGAAAAATCCGTATCAAAGATAAACTGATTAATTACAAAGAAACATTTAAAAACAACTTCATTTCACTCATTAAGGGAACGCGGTTTTAGATGATCTGGGTTCTCTTGTTCTTGAATTCCCGTAGCAACAGCGGATCAGGATGTGTTGCTTTTTTAGATCTTTTAGCATACTCATGTTGAGGCGATCAGGGGTCTCATTCATTACTTTGTGTAGAATCCTCCTAAAACCCAGCAAAGAAAAAAAAATATATATATGTATGTATATATATATATATATATATATATATATATATATATATATATATATATATATATATATATATATATATACTCAGGCAAACTCTTTATCTGACCTCCTGCTTTATAAATCTGAGTCTTCCTAAAAATGTGCTCAGGTGTTGCAGGGGCGTGTCCAGGGAGTGGCCTGGGGTAGCACATGCCCACCTTGGAATCTGATTGGCCACCCCAGGTGCCACCACACTAATTTACCTTTAAATAGGCTTTTCATTCTCCACAAAAGGCTTGGGGGTAAAACAAAAAAGCATAATCATTGGGGCCACCCATGCACAAAGTTGTGCCTCACCTGTGCCACCCCATTTTAAAAGATCTGGACACGCCACTGAGGTGTTGTAAACGTGATGTAAAATGAATTGGTTTACAACATTTCTAAATCAAAATAACTTCAAAACTCTGAAAACAATCTTGATTAATGTAATTCCATATATAGTATGAATGTGAGTGTGTGTGTGGGTGAATGACTGATTATGTTGTGAAGCACCTTGGGGGGTTGTGGAACCCCAGAAAGCATCATTTACTATTTTGATTTTAATTTTATTTATAAAATTAATCTGCTTTTACCTGTATTGTTTCTAATTTTTATACTGTTTTTTCTTACTTTACTGTTCTGCGCTTTGTTTGAAAGTGCTTTATAAATAAAGTTATTACTTTTTTGGGCCGAGCTATGAAACTGACGGACTTAAGGAGCAACAGTCAGAAAAAACGATCAGACATCCAGGGTCACTCCTTTGTTCCTCCCACCTCCTCCTCCTCCTCCTGCCACTCAGCTGCTCCTATGGGGAGGAGGAGGAGGAAGAGGGATGCAGGGAGAACACACCTTACCTCCCTCCCTTCTTCACTTTCTTCATCCTCCTCTCTGCTCATTCTACAGCGACAGCAGCTCTCATCAGCACACGACAACACAGTCCTGCTGTCGCTGGCCGGCTAAAACACACACACACACACACACGCGTACCCGCACACACACACACACACACACACACACACACACACACACACGCGTACCCGCACACACACACACACACACACACACACACACACACACACACACACACACACACACGCACGCACGCACGCACGCACGCACGCACGCACACACACACACACACACACACACACACACACACACACACACACACACACACCTTGACTGGCATCCTCAACAAAAACCAAAACGCCCTTGGACTGCTGCAGGCGAGGTAAGTAGCTAATTACTTTGTGTGTGTGTGTGTGTGTGTGTGTGTGTGTGTGTGTGTTTGTTTGTGTTCATGCATTTGGCTGTGTGTGTGTGTGTGTGTTGTGTGAAAGTATGTGTGATTCTGGCCCTCTGAATGCCTGCATGAACTGTTGTGGTTTTTATACTCTCTCTCTTTATGTGTGTGTGTGTGTGTGTGTGTGTGTGTGTGTGTGTGTGTGTGTGTGCGTGTGTGTGTTTACGAGTTAGACCAGAGCCAATGAGACTTGCGTTTTGCACCAGACCAAAACAAATCCAGAAAATAATGCTGACTCGCTTTAAGAGGAGTGTGTGTTTTTGTGCAGGCATGCGTGCATGTGTATTCCTGGAGAGGCCCGAGTCTGACTGGAAGCTTGTCAGCTGTTGGGAGACGTGTGTGTGTGTGTGTGTAAACTGGTGAGGTAGAGGCTCACATCTGTGCCAGCTCTGCTTGTCGAACTGTAGTTTCTGGCTTTTTTGGCTCCGTTCTGCAGCAGCCAGTTGCTGGGATAAAATCTCCACACATCTCCCGTTTAGAGTTTCACTCCAGGATTCACTAAATGTTCTTACAGAGCAGACAAGTGACATCTGCTTGTGCAAAAGGATTCCTGTGAACACAATGTTGGTCTTTAAAGACAATAGCTCTGTGGTGGAACCTCAGTCTGGTAGTGAAACACGTAAATCTGTCAGGCTTTAGTCCGAAAGTAAAGGTTGTGAACTTTATCAACGGTTAATAAAACAGAATTATCGTTGGTTTAGATCAGCGTGGGTGACTCGAGTCCTTGATGGCCACTATCCAGCATGTTTTAGCTGTTTCCCTCTTCCAGCACACTTGATTCACCTGCTCAGCATTTCGACGAGCTCTGCAGAAGCCTGTTAATCAGCTGCTGATCAGAATCGGCTGTGTGGTAGCAGGGAAACAAACAAAACATGCTGGATAGCAGTTGTCGAGGACTGGAGTTGCCTACCCATGGTTTAGATGTAGGGCTGCATTATGAGCAGTCAGTTTCTTACCTGATTATTAGAGCTCTCCTTCTGGAGGAATGTGAATGGGTGAATGACTGGTGTGTTATAAAGTGCCTTGGGGGGTTGTAGATCCCCATAAGCTGTACATAAATACAAGCCACTTACCAAAAAGAACAATGTCCACAACCTCAGCAACATGGAGTTTAGTTTGACCTTTGACCCTCACATCAAATCCATCACTCAATGCTCTTCTTTTGACCTGGAAGTTTAGACATCTCTTCACCCATATTCTTTTGCTCCACCTCCACACCAGACTCTTGTATTTGGTGGTTTTGTGTTCAATTTAAAGGTACAATATGTACAAAGTTTACAGTGAAATAATCACAAAACAGGCTAATGGCACAATCATGCTGGAATGAAGGTTACATCAAAACAGGTTTCCTTCTCAGCCGGCTGGGGGCTTGTCAGCTGCTCTCCTAAAAATTTAAATGCTCAAAGAGGGATGTAGTCTTTGTTTACAATCTGTGAGCCCTTCGAGTTGCCGGGTCTGCACCAGCTAACCCTGTCGTGCTGGCATTGGTAATTAGACACCAACCAGCAAATGATCCTCTGGTTAAAAGACACAGCCCAGAAGTTATTTCTTGTAATTTAAAGAAGACACTACATCGTTCTGTTGTGCTCTATCATTGGGTAAAGAATGCAGGAGGCTAATGTTGAGCTAACAATGCTAACGATGAATTGGAAAAATTAGTCTGCTCCAACAGTATCTGAAGCTTCTTTTCGAATAACCAGCAGTAGTTCGAAACTCATTCGTGTGTTTAGAAAATGTGCTGCAGTAACCAAGTTTGACCACAGTAGGTCGTTGTTACTTCATTCTTACATAATGCCCCGTTAAGTTACTTAAAAGAAAGAAAGAAAACAATATTTTATTAAGCGCCTGTCGAGATAAGAATCACGAGGCGCTTCACAGGAACAAAAATTTTTTATATGAAAAAGATTTTAAAAATGGTTAAAATGAGGAAATGAATTAAAAATTGTGATTAAAAATGTAAGGATAGGGAAAGAGAAAATGAACAGGAAAGAGGGAAATTGGTGGATCCCGGGAAAGGCGGAGTTGGTAGGAAGAGCTGAATAAGGAGAGGGAGGTGATGAAGGTCACACCAAAGCCTGAACAGGTGAGTTTAAAGGAGACCAGTGAGTCCACTGCTCTCAGGCTCAGGGGGAGAGAGGCTTTGGTCACTGGATCTCAGGGACCTGCTGGGGGTGTAGGGACTGAGAAGATCACCAACGTAAGATGGTGCTTGTCCATGTAAGGCCCTATAGGCCAGAACCAGGATCTTGAAAAGAACCCTGAAGTTGACTGGCAGCCAGTGAAGCTGGAGGAGAAGCGGGGTGATGTGGGTGTGTTTGGAGGACTTGGTCAGAAGCCGAGCACAGGCGTTCTGAACCACCTGTAGACGGTTCAGGGAGGTTCTGCTCAGACACGTGAAAAGAGAGTTACAGTAGTCTAAGCGTGGGGAGATGAAGGTGTGGGTTTAATTTGGGTTATGGTCAAGATAAAAATCCTTGCTATCTTCAATGTTTTACTTTAAAGTGACGTGTGAATTTCCCTGGCGATACAGGGCAGCTGCTCCTTGAACCGTCACCTTATCGTGGTGGAGGAGTTTGAGTGCCCTAATGATACTAGGAGCTATGTAGTCTGGGGCACTTTGTGCCCCTGGTAGGGTCTCCCATGACAATTGGTCTTGGGTGAAGGGTGAGACAAAGAACGGTTCAGAAGATCTTTCATGGACGTTAAAACAAAGAGTCGGAGTACCCGGCCTGGAGGGTTCCCGGGGTCCCACCCTGGAGCCAGGCCTGGGGTTGGGGCCCGTGAGCGAGCACCTGGTGGCCGGGCTTTCGCCCATGGGGCCCGGCCGGGCCCAGCCCGAACCGGATACATGGGCTCATCCAACTGTGGACCCACCACCCGCAGGAGGAACATGAAGGGTCCGGTGCAATGTGGATCGGGTGGCAGGCCAAGGCGGGAGCCTTGGCTGTCCGATCCCCGGACAAGAAAACTGGTTTTTGGGACATGGAACGTCACCTCGCTGGCGGGGAAGGAGCAGGAGCTTGTGGCAGAGGTTGAGCGGTACCGGCTAGATGTAGTCCGACTCACCTCAACACATAGCATTGGCTCTGGAACCCAAGTCCTTGAGAGGGGTTGGACATTCTCCTCTGCTGGAGTTGCTCCGGGTGAGAGGCGGAGGGCTGGGGTTGGCTTTTTGTTAGCCCCAAGACTCTCTGCCTGTGTGTTGGGGTTTACCCCGGGGACGAGAGGGTAGCTTCCCTGCGCCTTCGGGTCGGGGAACGGGTCCTGACTGTTGTTTGTGCTGATGGGCCAAATGTCTGTTCAGAATACCCACCTTTTTGGAGTTCCTGGGACGAGTGCTAGATAGTGCTCCATCAGGGGACTCCATTGTCCTGCTGGGGGACTTCAATGCTCACGTGGGCAATGACAGCATGACCTGGAGGGGTGTGATTGGGAGGAACGGCCCGCCTGATCTGAACTCGAGTGGTGTTTCGTTATTGGACTTCTGTGCAAGCCGCAGTTTGGCCATAACGAACACCATGTTCGAACATAAGGATGCCCACCGGTACACTTGGTACCAGGGCAGCCTAGGTCGCAGGTCAATGATAGACTTTGTAGTCATATCATCTGACCTGCGGCCGTATGTTTTGGACACCCGAGTGAAGAGAGGAGCGAAGCTGTCAACTGATCACCACCTGGTGGTGAGTTGGATCAGATGGCAGGGGAAGATGCCGCGTAGACCTGGCAAACCCAAATGCATAGTGAGGGTCTGATGGGAACGCCTGGCAGACAAACCTGTTAAGATGGTCTTCAACTCCCACCTCCGGCATAGCTTTGACCGCGTCCCGAGAGCAGTGGGGGACATTGACTCCGAGTGGGCCTTGTTCCACTCTGCAATGGTTGAGGCGACTGTTGCTAGCTGTGGTCGCAAGGTGGCCGGTGCCAGTCGTGGTGGCAACCCTTGTACCTGCTGGTGAACACCAGAGGTTCGGTGAGCCGTCAGGCTGAAGAAGGAGGCCTACAGAGCGTGGCTGGTCTGTGGGTCTCCAGAGGCAGCAGACAGGTACCGTATAGCCAAGCGAGGTGCAGCAGTGACAGTTGCCGAGGCAAAATCTCGGGCGTGGGAGGAGTTTGGTGAGGCCATGGAGAAAGACTATCGATCGGCTCCAAAGAGGTTCTGGCAAACTGTCCAGCGCCTCAGGAGAGGAAGGCAGCAACTCGCTCACACTGTTTACAGTGGGGATGGGGAGCTGCTGACGTCAACTGGGGCTATAGTCAGATGGTGGAAGGAATACTTTGAGGAGCTCCACAATCCCACCTATGCGCATTCTGAGGAGGAACCAGAGCCGGGAGACCTGGGGATGGACTGTCCGATCTCTGGGGCAGAAGTTGCTGAGGTAGTCAAACAACTACACAGAGGCGGAGCCCCGGGGGCGGATGAGGTTCGTCCTGGGTATCTCAAGGCTATGGATGTTGTAGGGCTGTCATGGTTGACACGTCTCTGCAACATTGTGTGGTCATCGGGGCCAGTTCCTGTGGAGTGGCAGACTGGGGTGGTGGTCCCCATCTTTAAGAAGGGTGACCTGAGGGTGTGTTCCAACGATAGGGGGATCACACTCCTCAGCCTCCCTGGAAAAGTTTACTCCAAGGTACTGGAGAGGAGGGTCCGATCGATAGTTGAATCTCAGATTGAGGAGGAGCAATGTGGTTTTCATCCTGGCCGTGGAACTGTGGACCAGCTCTATACCCTTGCAAGGGTGATGGAGGGTGCATGGGAGTTTGCCCAACCAATCCACATGTGTTTTGTGGATTTGGAGAAAGCTTATGACCGTGTCCCCAGGGGCACCCTGTGGGGCTGCTTCAGGAGTATGGGGTGGGTGGCTTTCTGTTGAGGGCCATTCAGTCCCTTTACCAGAGGAGCGTGAGTTTGGTCCGCATAGCCGGTAGTA